CCATAATCTAAAGATCAGGGTCCAGGGAGATTGATGCCCACCGGCCACCGCCCACAACCATATGGTGTCTTGGACTGACTTCCAGAGATATAAATAGCTCCGTCGAATTTAGTTTGAGTACTCGACCATTTAGCTGTCGGTCTACTCCATCAATCCGAATTTATTTCTGATCAGCTTTGTACCAATCCAAATATCTACAGTATAAATACATACAAAATAATATGAAATACAAGGTTCACGTATGCATTCATAAATTTGTGTTTGGCACTTGTTCATAGGGTTGCAATTTGGGTGGGTCTACTTCGAGCCTAAACCAGATCAAAAAGGATATCTATCTATCTATCTATTTATCTATCTATCTATCTATCTATCTATCTATCTATCTATCTATCTATCTATCTATATATATATTAAAATAAAACAATCAAGAAATTTTCTCTTTTTCTTGAATTTTTTATTTTTTTTATTTCATGTCATTTTTAAACAACCAATGAAATGCACTTTTCCAATAACTTAAATAATATCTTCTCTTAAAATTTCTCCTAAACTACCTCCCCCACTATCTTTCACTTTCTCCAAAATTATCTCTAATTTCTATTTATCTTCTAAATTATCTCTAATTCCTTTTTATCTTCAAAATTATCTCTAATTTACTAGAGAGTTTCTCTCATAAATTATCTCTAATTCCTATTTATTCTCTCTCATACTTTTTATCTATATCTATCTAAACAAAGTTTGGATTAAAAAATTTAAGAATTATTTAAATATTCTAACAAAATTATATAATAACTTTAAAATATTTATTAAAAACACAAAAAATAATTTTATATTTTTACAAAATATATCACGAAATTATATTCTAAAAATTAAAATTATGTTTTTCCATATTATCAATTTAAATGTTTTTCAAATATTTAATAATATATAATAGCTTTAAATAAATAAAATTCAAATAACAAAAAATTTAAAATATTTTAAAGATTATTTAAATATATAAATAACTAAATATTTATCATAACTAGATTTTAAATAGTTAAAATAACGAAATTATATAATAAATTTAAATAATTTCTTCAAAGTAGAAAAATAATTATAACATAATACTGAAATTAATAATAATTTAATATATTACAAAATTAATAATGAAATTTTGTAATAATAGTATAAATTATGATTTTATGGCTAATTAAATTCAATCATATTATTTAAGTATTTAAATAACTAAATGTTTTAAATAAAAAAATATTTCATATAACTAGATTTTAAATAGTTAAAATAAAGAAATTATGTAAAAGAATATAAAAAGTAGAAAAATAATTATAACATAATATTGAAATTGATAATAATTTAATATTTTTACATAATATTCTAAATAATTAATTTCACTTATATCAAGTAATAATATTAGAAAATAACTTTCAAAAAATTAATATTTATTAATAATAATTTTAAACTCTTAATCTGTATTTTTTATATAATTATATATACTAAAATTAATATTTATTGTAATTCAATAATTATTTATTTTTTTGTGATAAATGTATTTTCAATAATTATGTATAAATTTATTTTGTTTTGTTATTTAACAGAAAACTTTCAATAATTATTGGAGATTAAATTACTATTATTGAAATTTTAAATTTAATTTATTATACTTATTGTATTTTTGTTTTAAGTTATTGATTAATATTTATTAGAGATTAAACTATTATTTGAAATTATACTATTTATTGACTGAGTTAATATATTTTTATTACTTATTGTATTTTTATAATTTCTATAATTATTATATTTTTTATTATCAATATATTTTCAATAATTGTGTTTTCGCTATAAATTTTCAACAACTATTGGAGAGTAAACTATTGTTATTTATCAGAGACGATACTATTAATTTAGTTGAAATTATGAGTGTTCATGAGTTATTTATCAGGGATTGAAGTCCCTGCCCTGCCCCGACCCTAATTATATATATTAAATGTTATTTATATTAAACAAACTATTATATTATTTATATTATATATATATAAACATGTTTAAACATTATTTATAATTTATAATTTTTATTTATTTTAAATAAATACTATTATCTGAAAACATTTTGGGGATTCGGGTCCCCATGGGGAACCCATCCCTGTCGGGGATCAGGAATTGGGGTTAATTTTAGAATCAGGGTCGGGGATGGGGAATATGATCCCTGCCCCGTTGCCATTTCTTTGCCATTCCTACACACCTTATAGCTTTACATATTTACTTAAACCCACCTTATAGTTTTTATTTTACTAAAACATCCCATATATTTTATAACTTATTTACTTGATCAACCTTTCATTAAGGGCAAAAAATGTATTTTTATTTTTATTTTCTTTTGATTAAATTTATTTAAATAAACATTAGGATCAACAGTGTTATTTTTCAATATCCTCTAATAAAAGATTGATTAAATCCATTGCAAAATCTAAGTGATGTTTTAGTAAAGTACTAATTATAGGATAGATTTTAATAAATCTATGAAACTATAAGAACTATTTCAGTAAATATCCTTTTTTATTATTTAGGTTCGCTTAATAAATCTCATACATGGCACAGTTCCCCGCTAGTATAAATCATATTCAAAAGTCCTTTCAAATCCAATCAACGTGCCCAAGCCAAACAAAATAACCCAACTTGCCCTGCCCCAGTAGCATACATCTGTTTGTTCAGCAATTCGCACCTAATTAATTGCACTTGTTACCAGTCGATTTTTATTTTTTTATTTTATTTTGAAATTCCACTTTAATATTTAAATTATTCAACACTCACGTGGATTTTGGTGAAGGTAAGAAAGGTCAACATTCAACAAGTGGTCAACAACAGTAACACATGACTTTTGGGTTGGCACTTGGCAGGTACCGCTACCCAGAACCCAGAACCCACGACCCAGAACCAATCAGTCAGCCACAGCCCACAGCCAGCCAGCCAGCCAGCCTAGCTCGAGGACATTTTTGTCATTTTCTAAATGTCATACTCTTCTGTCACTCATTAATGTAACAGCGTACAACCACAAGTGCTGGTCCACACGACGCCAATTGTGTGCGGGTACAGGCCACAGGGTACTTGCCCCCTGCTCCACTTCACCTGCTTCTTTTTTTTTTCCCTTATTTCTCTCTCCTTCGATCAGTAATTCGCTATCGCTCCACTCCATCTCTTATCTCTCCCTTTCTCGGACCGTCGGACGATTCACGGCGGCAAAAACTTAACATCCGTGTCAAAGGGGAATTGAACCCGACGTGAATCGAACACGCAACCTTCTGATCTGGAGTCAGACGCGCTACCATTGCGCCACGGATCCACGTTTGAATTCTTTTTTATGTCTAATAATTTGACTCTATTGATGTTGTGGGCCGCGCTTTTCTAAAAAGCAACCGCATCAAAAGCAGGGAGTTTAATTTTAAGATTTTTTTAATAATTAATAGTGAAGTGGAGACAGACGACGACGAAAAGGAACATTAAAATCAATGTCCGTAGTGTTCAGGGATAAGTCTGAAATTTCACTCTTTTTGAGGGGACCATTCTTACTTTCTGTATCTTTTCGTCGTCTCCTTTTTTTATCTTTGCTTTCCCAACTCTCTCTCTCTCTCTCTCTCCATTATTGAATATTGACATCAAAATCCTGCTCCAAACAAAATCTTATGCCGAAAAAGAAGAAATAGATAGATAGTTTCATATTGTTTCCATCTTCCAGCGTCATCTCCAACCATACAAATACAACCATGAAGAGACTTCTAATCTTCTGCTTTCCTCGTAAAATGTTTCTATTCTTCTTTAAATTCTCATCACAATTTTCACTCTTCACCTATGGAAATGGGAGGAGGAGGACCACCACTCCATTGTTTGAGAATCGAGAAGGAAGAAGAGTGGTAGACTACCGACTCTACCTCTTCCCGAGGACTGTTCGATCATCAATAAACGGCTCCCCCTACTCATACCCTCACTGAGAATTTTGTTGAAAACGACTTCACATTACCCTTAATTACTTTCTTCTTCTTATTAACTACTGAGTAATAACATAAAATGAAGAAGAGCTCACACCCAAATTATCATCACGATCTAAACTTAAGAGAGATGAATAAATTGAAGGAGGGAGATATTACATTATTATTATTACGTATGGTTGCGGTGAAGAAGAATCTGAGGATGAGGAGCGTCGTCAACTTGGTTACGTGAAGACAGAAAATCACGTCATCTTGATCTTGACCATCCACTCTCCACTCCTCTCCTTTCGTTTCGTGCTGCTTTTGATTTCAATTTGATCGGGAGGGGTGGGACTGTGGTGTCCCATGGAAAGAAAATTCGAGACCTCGATGATAATGCTTATCATCACACGTGTCACTCGTTGGATGGCTCTCCTCCAATGAGGTCCCACTCGATTCCCATTTCGTTTCACCGTCGATATCCTGATAAGTGATAACCTACTTTCTGGCCATGGCCGGCCGTTACATTGATTGGACAATCTGGGTTTTCCCTTCTTTTTATCAAAATTGGAAACGTTAATGTGTTTCTCCAGAATCGGATGGTGGGGGGTCCATTCATTTAATCCGATGGCTGAAATCAAATGGTATCGGTGGGTAGATAAAATCCCATCCCCAAGATTCAAAGCTCAAAGGAAGGTATTGAACTGTTGTTTTCACGACAATATATATTATGAATGTAGCATCTCTTCATTCTTCTATAATGTAATACGTGAAAACTTGAATCTCAACCAATCAGAGTCAACACCCTAGTAGTATAAAAAATATATAAAGCCAAACAGTTGAATTAAGATGCATGATTTTGGTTAATGACTGCTTTGTCCTCTTCATGTGAAAAGCCAAACAGTTGTCCACTAGGGCATGCAAGTCATTCTGAAGTAGTTCAAGGGCATCGTTCTTGGTAAAAGAGGGTTGTATTCAGCTTTAAAGAATACCACTTACCACGTCAGCTTTTCAGAATTTCCACTATAAATTCCACTTGTAATAATGTTCGTGGGGAAGAGAGAAAGAGAGTAGAGACCAGAGAGGAGAGAGTCAGTTGGGAAAGAGGTTCCATTTTTATTCATTCCAAAGTTAACAAGAGATCTTCTGCGTCACTTGTCACTGGTTGTACCAGATAAATAAAATTATCTACTACATCCAATTTTAGCAGAGATCCTTCACACTCCCTTTTCAGTAATGGGCGAAGTAAGTATGCAACATTCTCTCTGGAAATCTTCGTTGGATATATATATATATATAATTATATATATGTGTGTTGTTTTGCTTTCTACTGTTTAACAATGTTAGCACACACACTTAGACCATTATTAACCATCAAGTCATCATCAGTTGGTTATGGGTTTTCTTCTTCCCCTTTGTTACTTTTGAATGTCTTAGAATTGTAGTTCCATGCATAGAATGTAATTAATTATAAAAAAAAGGCTTGTGGGTGTTGGTACTGTGAACAGGAGAAGAAAGAAGAAGAGAAGAAGGAGGAAGAGGAGAAGAAAGAAGAGAAGAAAGAAGAAGAGAAGAAAGAAGAAGAAAAGAAGGAAGAAGAAAAGAAGGAAGAAGAGAAGAAGGAAGAAGAGCCTCAAGAGATTGTCCTCAAGGTTGATATGCATTGCGAGGCCTGTGCCAGGAAAGTGGAAAGAGCTTTGAGAGGATTCCAAGGTCTCTCTCTCTCTCTGTCTCTTCTGTATATATATATATATATATTTTTTTTTTCTTTTGTTACAGAATTAATATATTATTCTTTTTGGTTATCACATTTTAATTACATGGTTGGTTTAATTTTGCTGATTGAAATCCATTTATTTTGATTAGGTGTGGAGGATGTGAAGACAGATTGCAAGTCTCATATGGTGGTAGTGAAAGGAAAGACAGCAGACCCGGTAAAGGTGTGCGAGAGAATTCAAAAGAAAAGCGGTAGGAAGGTGGAGATAATTTCACCTTTGCCCAAACCCCCTGAAGAGGAGAAGAAAGAAGAAGGCAGCGATAACAAACCGGAAGAGAAAAAAGATGAGGTAATTAGTTAATGTTTATAACCGATTCCGATTTTGCTCAAATACTCTGTCACAATGCTTCATCCATCTTCTTATTATTTCCAAACCCATACTGTGACACAAAGGAATTGAAAATTGGGGATTACATACATATTGCTTAATTAGAGCTATGACAAATTACGTACTTGCCATGTGGCAAATATTTATGGAGGTGATGATGACAGTCACAGAGGATCACGGACGGACCTTGTGACTAAACCAGAGGAGGCCAGAGTAGCCAGCCCTCGTCATCATCATCAGTCACCACATGACACATGCATGCATGTTCTGGTGAATAATATCAGACCTGTAAGGCTCATAATACGGAACAAAAATGCCTGAGGCTTTTTAATTTGCAACTCTTGACTCTGAGTCTGAATTTTAAAGCCCACTCAGACGCAAAAACAGAACTCTCTTTCTCCCTGTCTTATTAACCAAATTTTTATTATGATCGATCACACTCAGGACTCACCCCCCAAATCTTGTTTTATCTTCTGGACTTTTGACAAGAAAGCTGGATGATAGGAGAGGATCAGAGGATTGTATCTTGGTTTTTTTTTCTATTCTATTGTTTGGATGTATAAAGAAGAAGTGTCGATGATCTTGCTTAATTTCCCTGCTGGACTCTGCCATTAATTTGTCTTTTGAAATCCATTTTCTGCTGCAGCCTCCTCCTGTAATCGCAGTCACATTGAAAGTACGGATGCACTGCGAAGCCTGTGCTCAAGTCTTGCAGAAGCGTATTAGGAAGATCCAAGGTATATAGTCAGGCTCAGGACCACACCACCCACGTCCACGTATATCTTTTTAATTAGTGATTATTATTATTATTATTAACTACTAATTAATCATCATATGTATAATACGTAGGGGTAGAGTCTGTAACAACAGATCTATCAAATGATCAAGTAATAGTAAAAGGAGTAGTTGATCCAGCGAATCTGGTGGAGAAGGTGTACAAGAGAACGAGGAAGCAAGCGTCCATAGTGCCGGAGGAACCCAAGAAAGAAGAAGAAAAGAAAGAGGAGGAGAAAAAGGAAGAGAAAGTGGAGGAAAAGAAAGAAGGCGGAGGTGAGGAAGGAAAAGGAGAAGAGGAGCAGAAAAGCGATGCCAAGAAAAGTGAGTATTGGCCTCCCAAGTACTACCATCACTACTACTACACCTACCTGGAAAATGCTTACACCCCTCAAATTTTCAGCGATGAGAACCCAAATGCATGCTCTGTCATGTAATATCTAATAATATAATTAACGTAGAATCCAACCACCACCCAATACAATAGTATATGTATACATATGTATATATATACACTTTGTACTGGGGTTTTGTAATGTACCAGTAATTTAAGTGTTCTGCTTAATTAGCTCCCTTGGTGCAATTTTCTACATGTATTAAATATGTATCGTGCCAATAAGACTTAACTAAGAACCTGTCTTATTTTTAGGTTTGTGTACCCAATCTGTACACAGCCCATGTGGTGTGGTGTCCTTGCTTTGTGATTTATGAAGATTGAACCTACTCTGTAGTCTCTCTACTCAGTACTCTCTGCTCGGGCGTAGACCATGTACCCTTGGGCCGGGCAAGGGGCCATAATTTCACCTAGACCAATTTATGATGCAACCCACTAAGTTACTTATTATACTTCAACTATACAAAGGATGGTCCCAGTTATCCAACTTTTCTCATCTCTAAATTCATAAACTCATCCCACTACATGATTGTCCTTAATTATCATCTCACCAATCGACTCTATAGGTGATAATATGAACAAGCACAAGCACGGCCCATAATTCTTCTTTATACATCAACCTATATGGCGTACGATGCAAACGTTTGCATAACGATGTTTGGCTCTCTACATTCATAAGGGGTGAACAAATGGGTAGCTTCTACCCAAAATTGAATGGAACCAATCTTGAATTGGTCTTGAACTAATCTTATCTAATAGAATCTGATTCCAAATTTTTGGAATCAGTTTCCATTATGGCTGGTTCCAGGGTCTAGGGGTTAATCCTAATTGAACCAACCTTGATGAAATCTACCTTAGAACCAAACTTATCTTGAAATAAATTCTAAAATATTTTTGGGGATGTAAAAATTTGAACCCAAACACTCATGGTTACAAAGGCGATGGTTTTACTTGACCATTGAGTTACTTAAATTATTTGATCGTTTGTTTTCATTTTAATATTTGAATGATGTAAAAAGATAATATTTATAAAATTTAAATTTAAATTATAAGTTTTGAACCATATAACAATAATTTATATATTAAGTTACTTAATTTAATTAATAAAGATAATATAAGTTTTAAATTATATATTATCTTTATTGAAAATCACATTTTTAAAGAAAATATGTTTCTTTCTTTCTTTCTTTTTTTTTTTTATGAAGGGAGAGTGAAGAAAGAACAGGTTCCACGAGATAGACCCAGAATGTAGATAGATTCCAGATTCTATCGTAAAACTGAACCGAACCGATCCATGCTCACCTAACATTCACATCTTGATCCTAATGACTTTATATATCCTTCCCTATTTAAAATATAGAAATTGCCCTTAATTAATAAAAGAGATGTAATTATTAGTGACTAAAACATGGGTAGTTTAGGCACTGTCGTCCTTAGGCTTAAACTTTTGTACGTCTTTAGAATGTCCACAGTACATTAGAAAATGGGGTGTCCCCAAATCAGTTCCATGAATTAAAATCATCCACGAAGCCTTAATCTTATTGACAGAAAAAAAAGGTTCCAAGTTCCAAGTGGTCTGACAATATTTCTGCAATAAATATTCCTCAAAGAAATTGGGATCCTATGGAATGCCTGCTGTGGTAGCAACGGCAGCATGAGTCATTTCTGTGGGTGTGTATGCTCTATCTTCTATATGCTGGGTACTAGGACTCTAGGACTCTTGTAATGAACGCTTTTGCTTTGTTCATGAAGTAAATTTATAGTTTAAACTAACTTTCACTTCAGCCTGTCTTATCCCTTATATAGGTGTCTCAGCCCTCAACATGTACCTCATTATCAATATCAAAATCAGCCGCTCGACATATATACCTGGGCCCTGGCCACAGTTAGAAGGTTCTTTGCCCACAAACATTGGACCCAATCAAATTTTTGGACCTGGCTCATGGGTACTCATGCAGTCATGTTTATTCTATAAATATATATCCATTATATTTTATGAAAGGCAATGCTACCCCAAATATATCCCATAATATCCAAATTCTACCCCAGATTTGGTCCCTGTTCAAAAAATATTAAATTGATCAACAACCCGTTAATCTAAGTGGTTGAACCATCAACTTGTTCAATAGTTTTTAGTTATTTTTTATTTTAATTATTGTTTTTTTTTTATTTTTTTATCAGAATGAAACATCCATTCGAACTGGATGATAGAACCGTCAATTTGTTCAATAGTCTTTAGTTGTTTTTTTTTTTATTTTAATTATTGTTTTTTATACTTTTTTATCAGAATAAACCATCCATTTGAACTGGATGGTAGAACCCTCAACCTAGAAACTGATAACTAAAACGATTCTGAGTTGTTTTTTAAAACATTAACGAAAAAGAAGCAATCGTATCAGTACAATGCACTCCTTTTATAACTTCATTTCTTTCCATATAAATTTCTTTTCTTTAATTTTAAATTTTATAATGTACTCCATCGGTGGTAGGTGGTCAGTAACACGAGTCATGACAAACCCAAAGGCAAGATGACCCAGAACTGAATGCATAAATTAGGGAACCAAAGCAACTGAGCAAGGGCCTGCCAAAAACCGTACTCAAAGGCTCTAGGGATGGACCTATACATGCCTACATGGGTCTAGGGCCACAAGACGAGTATAGAGGTATTGGGCCTTGTGAGTTGTGACTTTCTATATACCTTTGTTTGTCTATTCTATTAGTCTATTGTATGCTGAGAGAATCAGGATCCAGTGGTCCTGCATAAGACACTGTACAGAAAAAAACATCTAATTTCTGAATTCGGAAACATCTAATTTCCGTTCGATTCGGGTAGTCGATATTAGATGGTAGAACCTCTAACCCAAAATTTAGTGGACAAAATAGTTCTATTTCCGGATCGATTTTTAAACCCTTGATACTTGATGGGGCCTGGGGGCGTGAATAAAAGCTTCAGCCTTAAGAGGCCCAGCTTTTGTCATTGATGAGGTTGGAAATTGGGTGGAGCAGCAGTGGTCAGTAGGCAATGCAGAGGGACCCAAACCAGAGGGGCAGGCTGGCTAAGCCCCAGGACCAGCCCCAGTCATAGTGCATAGAAATGGCGAACGAACCGTAGCCGGCCATCCATGTACTTGGCCGGTGGATGTGATTATGTGAAGTATTCCAGCTTTAGATTTTTGTACAGAGGTGTCCTATTCTAGGGTCAACGTTGGCCCCTACTAACACTGCTATTCAGTTGAAATCCCAACCCATATAGATTCATTCACCTTTTGTCATCCACCACAAATGATGTTCTTCTTTTTTTTTTTCTCTGGTCCACCACAATACCTAGGGTCCTTTATCCTAAGTCCAAACATATGAGACAGAAACAATTAATTAGATGTAGCCTGTACCCATCAAATAGAAATAAAGAGGCATTTCTTTGGAATCTTGAAATGTTTGCTTGTCAGTTTGTGTGATCAATGACTTTCTAGCTAGCTACTAGGTCTTTCTTTCTCTCTCTTGATCTTTGATTGTGGTACCTGCTAGGTCTTTTACAAAGAGTTTGTCCATATAGAATCTTATTAACATTTTCCAAATAAAGATCTCATCAAGCCATTCTTTGTGATTGCAAAAGGGAAACGACTGTCTTTCACACATTAAGAATAGCATAAATTCCTTTTTAACATGGGCCTCATACAATTTCACAACATTGGCTCCTGCTTGCCATCAATTTTGTGCCTAATATTTGTGGTTTGAGCTTGAAATCTATCAATGATAACTGTTATGTTTGGTGATCTACATTACTTGGGCTTGTATTATAGAACTGTTTTGGTGATTGGATCATCACTCATCAGAATTCAGAACCATTTGGCTTAATATAAATAAAACATTGTTCTTGATTATCTTTTTAAAAATACTGTGCAACAAAATAAACTTAGAACAAGATAAATAAATATAAAAAAAATAAAAATATAACATTTATTGTTCTTGATTATTTTTTTTTAAATGTTTTATATCAAAATAAACTTAAAACAAGAAATAGTAGAAGTACAACACCTCTCTCTCTCTACTCCCATGTTAGCCCATATAGCTATGCGCTTGATCATTGTTGAGACTGGATCAATGAATTATAGCCCCACATCTCATACATGTTTTGTACTCATATGTTGACACTGATGGGGTTGTATTTTTTAATGGAGAATTGGCTTCTAACTGTAACTAGAAAATTTGAAAAAAATAAAAAATTTGCTTCTTCAATGATTTGCTTTTAGCTGTAACTGTAAATATATAAAATAACAAAACCATTTTGTTCATTACTTGGACATTATTAACTCTATTAAGATGATATTTTATCCTATTTATGACCGTATTGTACTTTTTGCTGGGGGTACTCCATGTCCATGAGGAGTCTCCATCACAGGGCCACACCCGGATGCAACTTTTCCTCAATTCCACGGTAGCAAGTTTTGTCTATTAATTAGGCTTTCCTTGCCTATTTATTCAATACTAGCGGGGACTCGTGCGATGCATGGGATTTATTAAATGAAAGATAAATAATAGAAATGATCATTTACCAAAATACCCTTTTAGTTTCATGGATTTACTAAAATCTATCATATAGTTAGCATTTTACTAAAACACCATTTATAATTTGCAATGGATTTAATCAATCTTCCATTAGATGATAGTGGAGAATGACAATGTTGACACTAATGTTTATTTAAATAAATTTAATAAAAAAATAAAAATAAAAATACCATTCATGCCCTTAATAAGACACGAGCAACCACTCTATTGGCTATATTTGGCCAATTTTGTTTTTTTATATAAAAAAGTGTTAAGGGTATTTTTGGAATAAAAATTCATGGGCCTAATGGCAAAACAAACAATCATTTATGAAAGCTTGACTAAGTAAATAAGTTGTGAAATATATGGGATGTTTTAGTAAAATGAAAATTATAAGGTAGGTTTAAGTAAATATATAAAACTATAAGGTGTGTTCTAGTAAATGACCCTAATAAAAACACATAAGAGTATACAATTCTTTTATATTTTTCAACTTTTTAAATAATTTATAATTATTCATATTTTATATACTACTTTTAATAAATTTTTTATAATACAAAAATAAAAATAATTAATTTCAGTTAGGTTTATTCACCAAACTTATGAAACTGACCAACCCGATCAACTTGACTAGAGTTGGTTGGTTTTCTAGTATTTTAGGTTGGCTTTGCTTAAAGAATTTCCCATTTCAACAAAATTGGATCAGTTTCACTTTGGCCATTTGTAAACCGACCAAAATCGAACAACCTAACCATGGATATATTTAAATATAATTTTTAATATGAAAAAGTGAGAAATTT